CCAGGGATCACCTACCATGAAGGAGCTGTACGGGGCGGCCCCCGAGACGCTGCTGGGAGGTGGAGGCACCGCGTTGGAGGAGGCAGGGAAGAGGCCGACAGCAGCCAGGTTAAGGCCGGGGATGAGGTGGGATTGTAACTGAGGAGAGAAGAGGGCGTTGCTTTTGTCAGGGCATCAGCCCAGAGGGCTCCTGGTGGCCGGGGGGGAGGGAGCCCACTCACACTCATGGCAGCCACGTCGTTCTCGTAGGCTTCCCTCACTTTCTTCATGATCTCCTGCTCTGCCTTGCAGCAGTTCTCGATGGAGCCCTTCACCGTGATGGTCCTCTCGGGGTTGTACAGGGTCAGGTCCTGCAAGCTGGTGGGAAGGAGTGTCAGCACCCAGACCCTGCTCCATCAGGAGCTCCAGCCCTTCCAAGGGGTCCCACCGAGGTGCTGGGGACAGGGGGAGCCACTGCCACGCTCAGAGCAGGGCCCAGCATCGCCGTTTGCACTGGGAAGGCCACTCTGCCTTCCCCAAAAACGGGATTTAAGAGTAAAACTCCAGTCCTGGGCTGAGCTCTACAGCCCTGAAGGGGTGGGAGGAGACACTGAAGGGATGGAGAGGGGACACTGAAGGGATGGAGAGGGGACACCAGAGGGGACACTGAAGGGATGGAGAGGGGACACCAGAGGGGACACTGAAGGGATGGAGAGGGGACACCAGAGGGGACACCAGAGGGGACACCAGAGGGGACACCAGAGGGATGGGGAGGGGAATACAGAAAATATAACACCGAGGTTTTTCCAGAGAGCTCTGGGCACTAAAGCATCTCTGCCCACTCATCCCCCGCCTCCTCCTCGTCCTCCCCATCCTGCCCCAGGCTGTGGAAGTTCTGCCCTGGTTCCCCCCCCAAGGGAACAGGAGCCTTACGACGAGATGGTGATTTTGGTCTCCGTGTCCTGCTCCACCTTCTTCAGGTTCCGCCCCTCTTTGCCGATCAGGCGCCCCACGAAGTTGTTGTGGGCCAGGATTTTCAGAGGCACTTCGTCAGCCCTTGGGAGAGGAACGGGGGGGAAAACCCAACGTGAAGGACCAGGGCAGCCAGAGGAGGAGGGGTTTGTTTGGTGCAGAGGGATGAGGGAAGCTGGAATCCCACTGCCTGGAGTCCCCCAGGACAAAGCTCCTGCCCCTGTGGGAGCAGCACAGAGCCCAGGGAAGGGCCCCGGGTGGGACACCCGTGGGAAATCCTTACGTCTTGGTGTCCTTCGCCTCCTTCTGCATGATCTCCAGGATCATCTTGCAGGCAGCAGAGCAGCCCTCGGGGGTGGAGTGGATGCTGATGGCTTTCTCTGCGGCCCCCGCGTTTTCTTTCCGGTGCACGTCGATCCTGGGAGGGTGGAGTGGGAGCTGGGAAGCGGCTCCGCGGCTTCCCGAGGCCAGGAGCACCGGCTGCTCCGCTCCCCCTGCGAGCCCAGAGCTCACACCCCGCTCTGGGGTTACATCTGCACCCAGGGAAGGCAGGAGGGGCAAATCCTGGCTCGGCATCCCCCGTGGGTGCAGAGCTCAGAGGCTCCAATCCCCCCACTCCAAATAAGGCACCAGCATCTATTTATTTCAAGCCACAGGAGCGATTAAGGGGTGAACAGACACGTGCCTGGGGACGGGGTGGGCTGTCCATCACCCCACATCCCAGATAAGGCCTTCCTTGGGGGACCAGAGCCGTGGCCAACACGAGCTCAGGGGCCAAATCCTCGAGCACAGGGGGGGAACTCAACAAATCCCATTAAACGAGCCTGGCTGGGCCCCATCCCAGCCCTGGCAGAGGGAGATTCCGAGGGCAGAACAGCCAGAGAGCCTGGCTGGGGCAGGGAGCAGGGAGGTGGCTCCTGGACACACAGCCCTGGGCCCCGAACAACCCATTCCCAAAAAAAACCCCAAACCAGCATCTTAATCCCTGGGAGAGCAGCACGGGTGGGAGAGGGGACTCACTTGGACTGCGTCTGCTTGGTGATGTTCCTGATGGTGGCCCCTTCCTTGCCGATGATGGCCCCCACGTACTGGGTGGGCACCAGCAGCCGCAGGGGGATGTCCACGGGCTGCTGCTTCACCGGGGCCCCCGTGGAGACGGGGGAGCCCTGTCGGGGGGCCCCTCGGGCCCCAAAGCCCCCCCGGCGCCCGTTCTCCGGCCCCGGCACCGACTGCTCGTCCGGGATGTAGGAGACCTTGAGCGCGTGGTTCTCCAGCTGGTGCCCGTTCAGCTTCATGATGGCCCTGGCAAGGGAGGAAGGGGTGGGGTGTGGGTCCCTCCGGGGCTGCAGGTCCCTCCCGGGCTGCAGGTCCCTCCCAGGATGAGCTCAACCCCAAACCAAACCTTCCCTGGTGCGGGAACACCCCCAGCGCTGGGAGGACCTGGCACCCAGAGGGACTTTGGATGAGCCCAAATATCCCGAGGGAAACCCCCCCAGGTGAAGGAGGCAAGAACAGGGCTGTGCCAGGAGCGATTCCCACGTCCCCAGCACGTTGTGGGTCTTGCCCGGTGCCTCGCATCCCTCTCCCGGCAGGAATTCGGGGGTGCAGGGGCCGAAAGCTGTCGGTAGATGGGGCTGGCAGCAAGAGCAAGGCCGGGGGTTGGTTTGGTCACGGCTCTCCCGCAGCTCCGGGAAACCTCCCCGGCTCCACAGCGCGGTCGGGGACTCACAACTCTTGCAAAAAACACCCCAAATTAACCGGAAAAAAAAACAAAACCCAACAACAACAAAAAAACCCCTAAAACTTGCTGAACTGAGATTTTTCCCTGCAGGGCATGGAGGAACCAGGTAAAGACACTGGATGAAGCCCGTGCATCCCTGGGGGAGGAAAAAGCAGGGAAGGGAGCTGCGAGCCTCAGAGAGAACGCGAGTGCTGCCAGGTCTCTGATCTGACGTTTGGTCTCATCATTGCCTTTTCTGGGGACACAACTCCTGAAATCACGGAAGCCCAAGGAAATCTCCGCTTTTACTTGAGAAAAAAGTTAACAGTTTTACACTCTGGACCTCCAAGAGAAGCCTGAAAACTTGGAAATCCAAGAAGGAAAATAAACCAGAGCACAGGGGGGTCCACTAAGATTTGCCTCATTTTTAGCCAGAATTTAGGACTCTGGGGGTAACCTGGCTCACAGCACGGGAAGTCCGGTTTTCTGCAAGCAGGGAAGGGGGCAGAGCTGTGGCAGGGAGGGCAGAATTCCCGAGGGATGGAGGCACTCACTGCCTGGTCTGCTCCCGGTTGGCGTAGGTGACGTTGACCACGGCGGTCTCACTGTCCGTGTTCACTGCGGGCGACAGGGGCAGGGGCTGCAGAGGCAGCACAAAGCCAAGGACCAGAGCCCTCCCAGAAAAGCCCAGAGACCCCTCAGACGAGCCCCTGCTTGGATAAATCCCCTCTGGGGGATTTGCCAACAGTTTTTTCCCTGGGGGGAGAGGAGCATCCCGAGGCTCAGACCCACCCTGGGCACCGCAGACCCTCCTGGTTGTTCAGAGGATGCTGACCCACCCTGGGCACTGCAGACCCTCCTGGTTGTTGTATCCAGAGGCTCAGACCCACCCTGGGCACTGCAGACCCTCCTGGCTGTTCAGAGGGTGCTGACCCACCCCTGTGCTCTGTGGCAAAGCCACCAAACCAACTCCACCCCAGCCCTCTCTGGAGCCCTGGGGACAATCCCAGGAGCTCCTCCGAGCCCCCCTTTCCGTTTCCAAGCGGGTTGTGGTAACTCTATTCCCATTAAACATCCCGGGGGGGACATTAAACCTCTTCCCTGGAGTGCTCAGCGGCAGAGGCTGAGATAAAATCTGCTGAGCAGAGCCAGAGAGCCCCCAGTGCCTCGGGAGAGCATCCGGCACCTTCCCAGAGCGCCGGGAATGGCGCTGACCCAGCGCCCGGTGTGGGAACAGCCACTTGTGCTGCCCCCAAACCCACCCCACAGACTCATCTTTGGGAAAACAGGGAACACACACACAAAAAAATGCCTCAGCCACCAGGCTGAGACCTCTTGACATCCTCAGCCTGCTGACAAAGGGAAAACCACGTGTCCATCCTCCTCCTCCCCCCCCAAAAAAAAAAGAAAAAGATCCGGGGTAAATAATTAACCCCCCAAACTCAGCTTTTCCTGCTGCAGCCTCACCTTGCTCGCAGTTCTCCACGGTGCCGTACTGGGCCAGCAAACCATCCAGAACCTGCGGGGGGCAGAGGGGGGAAAACAAACCCGCTTTACCCCGGGATTGTCAGGGCTGATCAGGGGGACGCAGCCCATCCCCACGAGGCAGCTGTCTGGTCATTAAGATTTCACAAGCAATTAGATGAGGGAAGCTCCTGCCTGCCCCGGGATGCTGGACCAAGGGGCCTCGGAGCCAGCGGGGGGGGAAAAGAGAGTCAGGGAAAAGTCCCAGCAGGCAGCGGGAAGAAAGGATCCATTTTGTTCCCTGTACAATAGATAAATCATAAAACCCGGGTATTAATGGGGATTTTTGGTGGTGTCGCTTACGTCGCTTCTATCCCTCGGTTTTACTCCTGTAATGGGAGAGAAACAAGCAACGGGCTTCTATAATTAGACCCAATTAATGACAAAGGAAAGGGAACACTGACTTTAATCCCAAGTACAGAAACCTGGAGGGGGGGAATTAGGCCCTAAATCTGATCCGGTCCTGCCCGCTCGCCCCTCTTACCTCCCATCGCAGCTGGGGGGGGATGTTCCGGATTTGGATTTTCCGGCTCCTGGAACGAAGGAGAAGTGATTAAAAAGCGGGTTTAGGGGCCCAAGTGTGTCCATCCTGGTGGATCTGGCCGAGCTTTGTGTCTCCCTGCGTTCCCAGGGGTTCTGGTGGCTCCGGGCTGGTCACACCCAGCCCGGCCCGGGATGGGTTTGTGCTGGAGGTTCTCCCAGGAGAAAATTCCCAGCTATCCCCCCCCAAACCTTTGGCACTGGGAAGAGCCCCAGTGGCTGGAAAGGCAGAGGCTGTTCCCAGATTGAACAGAAAGATCAGAAAGCAAACAAGGAGCTGTGCCTTCCCTCAGCAGAGGGATGAGCCCTGGGATAACGGGAGCATCCCTCCCACATCCCAAAACCCGGCTGAGGGGCTGGATGGGCTCCGAGGGAACCAGGGCATGGACAACCCGGCTCCTTCCCCCGGGATGGGCTCGGGTTGCTCCTCCACTCACATTTTCGGCTCTTCCCAACCTCCCTTTTCCCAAAATAGAAACTCTTTTTATAATCCCGGTGCCAGGTTTGCCCCGGGGGTGTCGTTTCCCCCCTGACCCCCCTCGGAGCAGCTGCTGGAGACAGCTGAGAGCAGCCCTGGGATCATCCCGTGGGACCATCCCGTGGGATCATCCCATGGCACCCGCGCCCGCCGTGCCGCTGGACACCCCAAATTCCCCCCAAAATCCCCCCTTTAGGTGCCCACAGGTGCAGCTTTGTGCTACCAACAGTGCCAGCCCCCCAGGGATGGCTGCTACCCCTCCCTGGCCTCTTTTTTTTGGGGGGAGAATAGCCAAAACTCCTGGTTTTTCAGATGCCTAAAGGAAAGGAAGATAAATGTCACAGCCACGGCAGGCAGCTCCATGTGGGGTAAACACCCCCAGACCCCAACACAGACCCAGCTTTGAATCCAAAGGGTGAACAAACACGGGAAATAATCCAAAGAAAAGGGATAAAATGAGGTTCTGGGTCATTATTTTCTAATCACACAACTTCAGCTCGCTTGTCCATGAGGAGAAATCATCCAGCATGGAACGGCCCAAAGCCACCCCTGTGATTTAGGATAAGGATTCCTCCTCATCCCCCTCACCCTCTGAGGTGAAAGCAGCTGCCTCCAGCACCCCCTCACACATCAAAACCCCAAAAAAGGCCTGGCCAGTTGGTTTCCAACAAAACCAGAAGTGACATTTCCCCAAGACAACGAAGATTTCCTGAAGGTTCAGACCAGAGGGAGGGAAGGGCTGGATTTGGGGGGGTTCTCCCCTCTTAAAATTCAAAACAAAGCTCAAAAAAAAAATGAGATTTTCCAGCTCAGCCACAGGGGAGGCTCTGAAACACCAATTTTGTCGTTGCTACAGATGCAAACCAGGTGGATGAGGAAAAAGAAACCAACCCAGCCCTCCAAATCCCAGCATGTCCGGGGGTGGGGGGAGGGAACTGCAGGAAGGAAAGGGGGAATAGGAGGCTCTGAAACCAGATCCCTCCTTTCCAGGCTAATCCCCATCCCAAACCCCACCAGAGAGAGAGAGAGATTAAGAAATTCAGAATGCGAGGAATGTCGGAGCCCAGGGAGGGTCAAAGGGATTGGAAGTGACAGAGGAAGCCCCGGAGGTCTCCCCACCGCCCACCCCTGCCACGGAAACTTCTCCGGATTGCTGGGAGCATCTGCCTGGGCAGCGCACGTGCTCGGCACGGACGTGACCGGAATCCAACGGGCCATGGAGAGAAAAGAG